GATAAACGCATCGGGCGATTTGTATATATATATATATATTATTTTATAATTGATCGTGTGCGTTGAAGCGATTCTTTTTTTTTAATCGACTTTTAAATTAACGTGGATCGAATTATAAAAGTTAATGAAAAATTGGGGCGTTGCGTTTGATTAAATTCTTTTTAAATTGAAGCACGAAGTGTTTTGTAAAATGCTCGTTTAATTGGACGCATTTTTAATCATTCGTTAAAAGCCTCTTACGCGCGTACATCTCTCTTTCTCTCCGATTTTTATTTCAAAAAATCGATTCGAAAGGGAGCAGCGACCCTTTGAACCTTCTCGATATATTTCGTCGAACGCTTCGGCTTGCAATCGAGAATTTGAACGAGTCGACCGCCAATTATTCGAATCGAGGAAAGTTGGATCTCGCTCGTCCCTTGATATACGCCTCGTTGACCTCTCGAGATCGATTTGTCCGCACGAAAATTAACGGCAGATGCGCGTGCTCGTGAACGATCGAAACGCGATCGCCCCGTGTTTCCTCTTTTCTTCGGCCGAACGGAACCGATAGAATCCATAATGGAGCTCTCCTCTGTCACTGTTGCGCCGTTTTCGTCGGCAAATGAACGGTTTTGTAGAGCTCGGCACACAGAACATCGGCCGGCCTGCTTCGTGTTTTTCGAATGTGGTGTTGCAAGCGAACGACGATAGTCGTCCGTAACGTTCTCGATTACGCATATTCCACGAGTATACAGCGAATGTTATTAATTATTATTATTAATTAATATTAATTGTTATTATTATTAACTTCGTTATTTCGTTATATACGTTGAACGATTTTTACGCGTGCTCGAATAATCGACACCCAGCCTCGATTTCATTCTCCTTCAGATTTTTCCATTGTCACCGCTTTTCCCCCGAAACTCTGAGATATTAGGAGAGACTCGACAGCTGTGCCTGTCACAGGCCTCGAGAACCCATCGTGTAATATATTGCTCGCGAGCAAATCAATCTTAGAGCCAGAGAGAGAGAGAAAGAGAGAGAGAGAGAGAGTTCTCGTTTCGATTAATTGGAACTTCGTTTCATCTCGCGACATTTTGGAATATGGATGATATTTCTAGCAGACAATCGATGCTTTAAACGTTGTTTAACGTTTCCATTCCTTCGAGCTCGACTCGCGGGATTATCAGTTGGCAGATAATACGCGCGAATCGATTTCACGGGCCGTCGCTTTGTCACGTGAATGCGTCCTTTTCGAGGGATAATGGGATCGTCGAATGGAGGGGGAAGAAAAACTTGTAATTTGCATCGGGCTCGATAAACCGACTCGTCGATGGAATCAATTGGAATCGTTTGGAGATACGATCGTTTATAAGGGAGGATCGACGAAATGATTAATTCGTTCGATATATTAGGATTAATAAGTTAATTTAAATCTGTATTACGTATTTTTTAATAAATAATCTGATAATGATGATAATCTGATAACGATACGTCGAATATTAATTTCTTGAAAAAAAAGAAATTAATAATAAGCTTTTCGAGAAAGAAATGATTAATTCTATATATATTAGGATTAATAAGTTAATAGGTTTAAATCTGTATTTTTCAATAAATAATCTGATAATGATGAACGATACGTCGAATATTAATTTCTTGAAAAAAAAGAAATTAATAATAAGCTTTTCGAGAATAATGGACTCGATGGAATCGTTTATAAAAGAAATGATTAATTCTATATATATTAGGATTAATAACTTAATAGTTTAAATCTATATAATATTATGAAATAATAATGAATGATACGTTGAATATTAATTTCTTAAAAAAGAAAAAAAAATTAATAATTTTCGAGGGACAATGGAAGAGAAAAGAAATCTGTAATTTTCGATAAGTTGATGGAATCGGTTGGAATCGTTCGGAGAAATTTATAAGAAAGACTCTTATTATTTTTCAATAAATAACCTGATAATAATGAACGATAGATCGAATAAGTTAATTTCTTGGAAAAAAGTGGGGGATTTTTATTTAAAATTTTTATTTCCCACGAAATAAATATTCTCGAATAATCTTGAAACATACAATATAATAAAACGTGCAACGCGTATATAAGTTTGGCATGCATGGTTTCGCGATATTAAGTCGTTATTATTCCCTCCGGTTGTGCGCTGTTATTGCAATATATATATATACATTTTCCTTTTTACTGCCCAGGGCATCTGTCCAGGAAATCGATTGAGACTTCTGGTCGGCCAATATGATACAGGGGGTTGTTTGGTTGGCAGCAGGCCTGACCTAACCATTTCCGAAGACGGCATACAGAGGCATGGAAAACGGCGTAGCTGGCACGTTCAACCGAACAGGGTGAGTTATACGATCCCGTTATTAAATTCATGGGGCACAGAATATTTCTGTATTATACACGTACGCGCATGCGTCCCACGCGTCTTTCGCCAATTCAACTTTATCGTGGTTTTATTCACTTCGTGCGAATGGAAAATTTTCAATTTCGATCGAACTTGAATTGGGTGCGAATTTAAATTTTTAAAGATCGTTAATCAATCAAATTAATTTGATATTGAATCGAATTGAAAAATCGACGCTCTAGATACATGCGTATCGTTCATTTAATTATCCGTTTTCAACCTTCTCACTCAAATGTCCATATACTCAAGTATTTTTCAGTAAATAATATAATTAATATTTGACGTAGTTGGTATCCTCTCTTTGTAATTTTGTCGAAGTGAGGATATTTAAATGTTCATATTCGATTTAAATCTGTATAATATTATGTATTATGTATTTTTCGATGAAACGTGGTTAATATTTCACGTAGCTAGTATCTTCTCTCTGTAATTTTATCGAAGTGAAGATACTTATCTATATTCGATATTTTTCAATAAATAACATAGTTAATATTTCATTAGTAGCTAGTATCTTTTCTCTGTAATTTTATCGAAGTGAAGATACTTATCTATATTCGATATTTTTCAATAAATAACATAATTAATATTTTATTATTACGTAGCTAGTATCACGTATCTTCTCTCTAATTTTATCGAAGTGAAGATATTTAAGTATCTATATTCGATATTTTTCAATAAATAATATAATTAATATTTCACGTAGCTAGTATCTTCTCTCTGTAATTTTATCGAAGTGAGGATACTATTAAGTGTAATATATTCGACATTTTTCAATAAATAATATAATTAATATTTCATATAGCTAGTATCTTCTCTCTGTAATTTTATCGAAGTGAGGATACTTAAGTATCTATATTCGATATTTTTCCAATAAATAACATAATTAATATTTTACGTAGCTAGTA